ATGGTAATGTTACTGGTGGTGACAGCGGCAGTACTTGGTGGACATAGTAGCTCTAGAGGTGCTGGACAAAGCAGCAGCTGTACACCCTGTGCGTTCTGGATCTATACTTGGGTGTGGGGATTTGGGAGGTGCTGGCCAGAGTAAGTTCTGTAGCAATAAAGAACTGCTTTACTAACCAAAAGCTTGTTTCTTGTCATTTTTCTTTTCTTCTCTTTTAAACTGCTACCCAACACAATGTCTGGATAAATGTTTGTAATTTATCACGAGGGCAGATTTTTCAAGCCATTCTGGATGCCAGGATGCTGAGCAAGACCAATATTTCCAAGACTGCCTATCTGCCCATGGAGAAGAGGGGAGCCTGTAAATTCAAAACAGCAATTCCTTCCCAGCCAGGATGAGTTAGCACAGCCATGCGAGGGGCCGTCATCAGATAAAAGGATTGCTTGTGCAAGTGATTCTAATATGTGCCGTATGGTCTTTTTGCTCAGCTCCTGTTCTCCATGCCTCCAAATGTCAAACGTGATTATTTTCTACTGGTTAGAGCTGAAACCAGGTGCTCAGGGAAAACCTAGAGTCCTGAAATAAACTCGGGCTTCGTGCCACGATATGAATCAAACAGTAGCCTGCAATCCAAATGATGCTGCTACCATCTGGTAAAGCAGGCAAAGGCCAGGAAAAAAGGCTTTGAAAATTGAAAAGTAAAACAAATTCAACCCAGGTTGCCACTGACAAAAGACTTCCGCGCTCCTCTCTCGCAGGTGCATCAGGAATGGGAGCTGATGGGCCTGGCCGCCTGCAGCAGAACAAAGGGCAGCAGCCAGAGCTTAACGTGACAGGTGTTCAGTGCGTCCGACAGAACGGGCGCTCTCAGTTACTAAGGGTCCTCCCTCTTTCTCACCAAGGCTTCTGCTGAAAGGACTGCTAGTGTCTGGTTTAGAACTGTGGTGTGTACATGGACACACATACAAACACACACCATCTTAAAGCAAAAAGAGTAAAGTTCTGGAGCCAGGAGGACCTGAGTTCTAATCCCGGCCTCACCATTCACAGTCTGTGTGTCACTGGGGAATCCGGCTCATCCCTTCCATTCTTGGTATCCTCATTTGCACAGTGGGATCAGGGCTGCCACATCTCATAGGTCCTTATAGGAATTAAGTGAGAAACTTATATGAAAAAAAAAGAGCTAAGTGCCTGCTATGCAATGATGATTCAACCAACGTAATTTCCTTCCTAACTTATTTAGTTCTATACATGTAGAGATAGCTTCTGTTTTTGAAATGTGTTTTTAAAGCCAAGGACACAATGGACACCAGGAGACACGGGGTTGCTCTGTCTTCAGTGAGAAGGGGGACACCATGCCCCACAGGGTCACTTCTTCAGTTCTCAGCTTTTGATAAGAGAGAAGAGAAACCAAAAGATATTAAGAAAATGATTAAAGGAAATGAAGAGACTGTGCCCAGCCTGTGGAAAGGGCAGTGACAAATGACAAATCCCTGAGTGACTGGAGCCAGTAGGTCAGGTAATATTTCTGGACATTCAGTTTTTCACTGTGAGTCTTAAATTTGTCTCTGACTGTGAGAAAAATCTCACAGTCTCAGACATTTCTTCCATCATGACAAGTCTATAGTTTATACATTCCAAATTTTACATTCACTTTGAAGGCCTGACAGCATAGAGTTCTCTTAAGCAAAACTTCTTTTCCCCTCCTTTTTGTCCAGACAGGAAAGATGGTCTCTGGGCTATTTCAGGTGGGACGAGGGTACCAGAGTAAGAAAAAGGGAAGTAAAAGTGAAGGAACAAAAGAAACCGAGTTTTGCTCTTTAAAATTGTGCCTTCTGGACATACAGACGACCAACAGCACAGGAGAAGGTGCTCAACTCAACATCCCTCATCATCAGGGAGGTGCAAAGCAAGACCTCAGGCAGATGCCACCTCACGCTCGTTAGAACGGCTGTGACCAAAACGACAAGGACAACAGGTGTCGGCGAGAGTGTGGAGAAAAGGGAGCCCTTGCACATGGCTGGTGGGGAGGTAAACTGGTGCGGCACGGAGGGTCCCCCACAGAACAGAACTACCACATGAGCCAGCAACCCCGACTCTGCGTGTTTACCCAAAGGAAGTGAAAACACTAACCTGAAAAGGCATCTCCACCCCCTGCTCTCTGCAGCACTACTGACAACAGCCAGGACGCGGAAGCCACCCAGGCGTCCGCGGATGCGACAGTGGATAAAGGAAACACGGCATGCGTGCAGTGGAGCCGCACGCAGCCACGGAAAGAAGGCCACCTCGCCATTCACACCACGGAGGAAACCTGAGGGCGTTACGCGAAGTGGAATACGCCAGACAGAGAAAGGCAAATCCCACGGGATCTCACTAACAACGTGGACTCTAAAAAAAATAAAAGGAACTCATAGATACAAAGCACAGACTGGTGGCTGACAGAGGAGGCAGGCGTAGGAGGTGGAAGAAACGGGGAAAGGTGGCGCAAAGGTTAAAGAGAAAGTCGGGCCTCCTGTGTTGGCGGACAGAGCCCCGCTGACCAGATGTGCAGTCCTCCCCACGCCACCCAAGTGCCAGCCGCCCGGAGAGCAGCATTCGTGTGACCCTTGCACCCTGATTGTGAGACCCTCATTACAGCCATTATATGTTTATGCATATTTTATATGCTTATGTATATTATTTTTGTATTTATTTTAACGTGTGTATAAAAATATACGCGTTCTAAGTGAGAGGCACTCCTCGAAGTGCTGCAAACACAAAAATACTGTTCTCACGACTTACATTTTAGTGAAGAAAACAAAAATAAAACAAATTCTCAAGTAAGAAAAATAAAAGTCTTCCACAGAAAATCAGAATAGACAGAGGTCTATTTTTGGGGTGGGTGATTAGGGTGCAAGAGGTTTTTTTTTTTTGAAAAATCAACCTCATGGAGGCTTTTGTGTGTCCAAGGGCCTCGGCAGCCTTGAGCCAGGCTGGTTCTACTTTGGAAAGTTCCAGGTCCAGATGCCACTGCAGCACTGCCCACTCCAGCTGAGACACTGCACCCAGACCAGGCTCTCCCCAGCGCCCCCCTCAGACAAGCAGGAGGACGCGACAACCTCAGAGATGGTTTCAGTACCTCCTCTGCCTCCGTCCAAGGCGGGGAACCCAGCCAGACAGAGGGCGCCTAACATCCTCAGTGAGGGTGGGGGCCTGCATCTCCCAGGCTCTGCGGGACGCAGATGGGGCGTAGGGAGCCGCGCTCCTGATCCTCCCTTTTCACTACGTCATCGTGGAAAAAGACCAGCTTCGTCCAAAATGAATGTACTCACTTTGCCAGGGACCGTACCACCTGCCTGCTGCTCATCTCTGAAACAAAGCGCCCCTCTCCCACCCTGTATTTCAGTATCAGTGTCTCAGCTCCCAGGTCCCCGAGGCTGGTCATTGCCTTGTGCGCTCCCCGTCACAGCCCGAGTGCGCACCCTGACATTAAGGAGCTCTTCAGAGTGACATTTCAATTGAAGGTGACGAGGAGGAGCCGGCAGGTCACCATGAGGGAGGGAGAGAGAATTTTCTGAGTAAGTCATCATTCTGCCTCAGGTCTTCGTGACTCAGCCAGAGGCTGCTTCTGAGCCCACACCGACATCACCGCCTGTCTCCGCTCTGTCTTTCCACAGGGAAAGCCACTGACTAGCAACACCCACCAGGCGGAAGAGCTGAAGTCAGGAGACCATCCGTGACAGTGGAGGGACGAGCACCCCAGAGACACACGCAGTCACCGCCCTCCGTCCACTGCAGGAAGCAGGCCGAGAGCGCAGCTCTCCCCTGGGCTCCGGCACGCCCTGCATGCACACCCCCACCACCCGGCCCTGTGACTCCTGGCTCTCCATCCCCTGCTGGACCTGGGTCTTCCAGGTGGCAGGCTCTGCCCCGTCCCCGTGTCCTCTGCCTGATGTACCTCCCGGTCTGGGACGGATGCCCCTCCCAGCGCTGCCCGGGCCTGGGCCCCACCCTTCCTCTTTGATCTCTGCCATCATCTCCCAATCCGGCTCCTCCCCCTGCAGTCTGTTCTCAACACGGCAGCCAGATGGATGTGTTTAGAATGTAACCCGGGCCACCACCACTTCTGCACCCCAAACCCTGCGGAGAACAAACTGCAACCAGGAACGTGTGAGGCAGCCAGGGACACTGTGAACACAAAATGAGCTCACTGTGAAGCCTTCTCATGGACTCAGGTGGGACGCGGGGATGATGCCTTCCTCCTTTCACTCCCCTTAGCTTTTAGCGGTATACACCGAAATACTTACAGACACAATGATGCGGTCGTGTTTGGGACTACTTCAAGCTGTCCTTGGGGTGGGTACAAATTACACCCCTTGGCCAGTGACTTGATAAGTGTTGAAATGGGTTTGGGGTACATAGGCGTTTATTTCACTATTCTATTTTTGTATATGTGTTTTTCATAATAAAACATTTTTGAAAACGCTCAATAGCCCCACATTTCACACCCAGGAAAAGCCAAAATCCTCACAATGGCCCACAAAGCCCAACATGAATTGGCTCCCAGTTTCTAGGGCTTTGCCCCCTCCTGCTGGGCCCACGCCTGCTCTACCACACAGGGCTCTCTGCTCAGACACAGGAGCACACCTGCCTCAGGGCCTTGGCACCTGCTGTCTGTCTCCTCTGCCTGGTCTGCTCTCCCCAGCTCCCTCACCTCCCCAGAACCCACTCAGATAGGACTTTCTTAATAGGGCTCTCCTGCATCACTTACTTAAATGCCAATTATTCTGTGTTTTTCCCTTGCCTGCCAGAATGTGCGCATCTGGAAGGAAGGGATCTTTATTCTTCTCACTGAGGGACCCACTTACACAGAGCAACCCCTAACACCCCGCAGATGCTGAAGAAATGTTTGTTGAATGAGTGAATTTGTGGCAGGAAGGAAAAGGGAGGGGGAAAAAGATACAGGGATGGGCTCGTAGAAAGAGAAACAGCAAAGACAGGAGAAGAAAAGAGAAACAGAGAAGGGAAAGGACGAGGAAGTGGTCCAGGGTCCCCAGCAGGATGCTGGCAGAGCCTGAACTAGAAGCCGTGTCCACGGACCTTTTACTTAAGCAGATGCACTTCTGAGCTGGATAAAAGCGGATGGACACGAACAGGTGTCCGGAGACAGGACGTCCTTTCCGGGGGGTTGGGGGAACTCCCCGATTCTGAATTACTCTCTGCAGTGCCCCCCTCAATTCCTGCTGGCATCAACTCACTCCAGCAAGGCCGCCTCAAATGCCACCTTCCCTGTCCCCAGCCCTGCTGCCCTCTCTATTTCCACCCACAGGCTTCATTGTCCCCACTCAGGCACCCGGGTATCCACTCACACATCTCCAGTCCCCAGGCTGTGAGCTCCTGGTGGTTGAGGGCTTCATCTCAATTCCCGGAGCATCGAGCAGAATGCCCATGTTCCGTAAGGGCAGATGTGAGCTTTGCTGACAGACTGATGCGCAGAAGGGAGGAAGGGAGGACAGAAGTCGGGCCCTCAAGAGACATGCTCCTGGGTGTGCGTCCTGGGTGTGCATCCCTGAGAGGCAAGCATGGCTTTGCTGCCCCAGAGCCTGCCCTTCGTCTGAGGAAAGGAGGTGGGAGGCCCAGGACTGCTGTGAGGTCTGGCGCTTAGCTGGGGCTCAAGGACTCGATAATACCACACCTACCCCGGTCCGCACCTCCTCTCCACCCTGGCTGCCTCTCTGGGTCCCCCCGGATCCCCGCTCACATCTCCAGTCTCAGTGCGTGTCCACTCCCCAGCCCCCACCGCACGGGGGCGCGTGTTACTCCTAGGGTGAGAGGTGTTTCTGGGGAGGGCCACAGCCAGCCCTGGGGAACACATGAATCCCTTCTGAGGTGCCAAGAAGCCACGGCCAAGGAAGCGTGGGCCTCGACAAGCAAGCTCCAGGCAAGGTATGTCCCCTCCCCTGCTTAGTAAGAGCCAATGAAATAAAGACAAAGATTTTAAAAAAAACTTCACAGTCATTTTTGTATCAGGAGTCCACTCACCAGCTAACACCATACTAGGAATAACACTTGGAGTAGTTCAAGGCAAGATGAAATACAGGTCGCCTAGCTGCCAATCACATGATGTACAAGGCTGCTGCTGTCTCTTAAGACCCTGCCTGAGCGTGCTGGGAGAATGAGGCCCGTGACAGCTGCCACATCGTGCTGCCCACAACAGGCCACGCCCCACACTGGGCACTTTTCCTCACAGCTCAGCCGGCTTAACAGGCTCAGAGAGGCTGGGTGACTGGAAGGGTCACACAACTGCGGAGAAGCAGAGCTAAGCTTCAGACCTGGGTGCATCTTGCCACAAAGTCCAGGATCTCACGCTTTACAGAGGAGCAGGCAACCCGGCTTTGACCCATCTGGTGGATGGGGACTTGGCGTCTGGGGCCGGTGATGCCCAGGGGGCGGTGACACACCCAAGGTCTCCTAGAGGGGTAAGTGACTTCTCCCACCCAGCCTTCCCTCGTGACACCTTGCCACACCCCAGGTGGCCTTCAAAGTAAGTGCCTCTTAGAGTCTTGAGAGTTCAGGATGGTTGTAGGATGCAGAGGTATCTGGAAATCAAAGGAGGATGTTCATTGGTGAATAAAGACAGGCTGAATTTTGTGCTGAGTCATAAAAGCAGGTCACCTGATTTCAGAGCTGGAGATGCACAGTGCGGTCAGAGAGTGCGCCCAACCCCCTTAGACAGCGTGAACCCACAGCAGATCTATGACACTGTCCATCTCACACTCTGGACTAAGACAAATGCTAATTAAATTAAACACCGTAAGAAATTATGATATTAAAAACAATAGGTTTTTAAAATATCTAATAGCCTACAGGCAGACCTCTATTCTTTTGCTGCTATTTCTTTTTCTCTTTCCTCAAGACTTAGCTCAAACATCACCTTTCAGGAAGCCCTGGCTAGCCCCCAGGTTGGGTCAGTTTCCCCTTCTCTGCGTTCTCTTGGTACTGGGCTTCCTTCTGCTGGGGCTCTGACCACACGGGGATGTGAGTTTCCATATACCTGACTCATGGCAGACACAGACTCACCTCCAGGAGATGACCCAGGACTCAACTCAAGGCTGAACACACAGTCCATCCTCAATCATCTTTGATGAACTCAATCAAATTCCAATATTCATTCCACGCTCATGAGACAGGCATCATCTGCTCTCTCTGAGCTGCTAAAATGGGGGGGCAGTGTGGTTGAATTGGGGCATCAGGAAGGAAAGATAATTTACTTACTCGGAGACCTTGCAAACCAGGAGGTCCATCCTTGCCTTCCGGACCCGTAAGCCCCTTTAGGAAGAGGAGAAGGGGAGAAAAAGAGAGACAGACGATGGTAAATACAAAGTAAACACTGCAGGATATACTTTGCTCCCTCACTCTCACTGGATGGGAAAATACCATCCCATTCTATGGGGAAACTGGGAGGTCAAGGGGGAAAGCATCCTGCTCCCTCAAATCTGCAACACTTTTAAAACACGTGCATCTGTCTGATCTAACTAGGTATGCTCACTGACCCAGACATAGGCACTGCCATCCGTGCTTCAACGGTGAGTACAGTAAGGATCAAGCGCTCTGCACTAGTGCCCTGCATGAAGTGCACACGAGAGACGCGTCTGGAACCCAAGTGTCTTTAGCTCTAATCCTGGTGCCTTTTCCCCTACATCTTGCTGGCTCGGTGATAACTGGCTGGGGTTACCTGACTCTCAGTCAACAGTGATATGCAAGATGACAGTATGAACAAGTAGATGAAATTGTTTATGAAAGAGTAATTTCCATTAAGCAAGGAAAACTGGCACAGGAAGGGGTCACACTGATCTAATTACAATCCTGCCCCCTAACCTGCCACTGTGTATCTACTGTCTGAACTCAGACAAGTCCCTTGACATCCCTGAACCTCAGTTAACTCAATACCCAAAGTGAGGGTAATATACTGACCTACTGAGTGGCTGTGAGGACCACATGAACCATGGGTACAAACGCCCTGACACAGCACCTGGACCTCCTGACAGCGCCCTGATTTACACTCGGATGTATACTGATGTCACTTAGAACATGGCATGGAATGTGACTGGGAAAATGCAAAATTCAGCTCTAACTGTGACTCTATCACCAACTTTATGGGTGAATCTGGGCCAGAAATTCCCTCTCTGCACTTGAATTTCCTCATCTTCAATAAACATACAACAGCTACCATTGCCAAGTTTTGCATAATTATTAATTATTGCAACTGCACTTAGGTTTAATGTCCTTTCTCTAAATAACAGCATAAAAATGAATACATGTATGAACAAACTGCAGTAATTAAAGGTTTAAATCTCCCTTCCTCACAAGAATTATTCCAGTGAGCTTGGGGCACACATCAAGGGAAGACTGTGCAGAGGTGAGTTTGCATTAAGCATCAAGAAATGCCTTGCATTTGATCTGCCCAGCTGGCCTTTCTTCCTTACTCTCAAGCAGACATTGATAAAGCTACCAGAACCTGCTTTATCTTGGGGAAAGAATGAAAAGATGCCTGCTTCCTCCACAACTCCAGCATTTGGATGCATCTGGATGCTCCACGCTGTTTCCATTTTGAGAATGGGACACATTTTCCTCTCCCTGGGATTGCTAAACACAAACTCAAAATTTTCCATTCTCAACAGAAGCCACTGAAGCCAGGTTCTCGATCTGATGCAACCCAATGAATATTTAGGGAGCGACTACTCTGCAGAAAGCCCTGAGCTAGGTGCTGCTGGGGATTTAAAAAAAAAGACAGAAATAACAATTGATATCAATATTGGGCTTACTAAGGCTTCACAGAACAGTGCTTTCTGCATCAACTCACTTAACCCTCACAGCAGATTTATGTAGGAGATGATGTTGATGATGATGACCTCCAAGTAAGGAATAAAGCAGAAGAGGACACAACAGCTAGAGTGATGTCATCAAAGGCCCAAAGCTACTTGGTGGATGAAACGGGACATGAAACCAGGTGTTTTGGCTCCTGGCCCCAAGTGCCTTTTGTGGCCATATTGCTCGTTATGAGCTCATACTGCAGTCAGGTCTCACTCGATGTCCCTCTTGAATACCTGTTGCGGGGCCACTCCTCCATAAGCAGGTATTAAGTTCCCACCATGTGATGAACTCTGTGGATTTAGAGACGGGAGAGACACTGGCCTTGGCCTTAAGAACCTTACAGCCCTGGCCTCTCATCAGAGTTCCCCACTTTTCACAAGGTCTTAGGTAGGCTGTTGGGGTTTTGAACTCCTTCCAACTTTCATCCTCAACACCATGTATGGCACTAAATCCCGTTAGCCCAGAGGCCATCTTCAGGACCCTGGACAGCTCCACCGTGCTGTAGGGTTGGCGTAGTCTGGTGTTTCAATGTACTGCGGGTTCAGGACCCTCTCCTTATCCTGTACAATGGGCTGCAGGAGTGACACATGCAGAGAACTGTCATTAATCACCTACAGGTTTCAAGCGTTTACTCACAATGATTTCTTTTCCATATTTCTTTCATTAAACTATGAGATCAGTCCATGAGCTCCCATCCCTGTATCTCCAGTCTTAATACCTCACTTGATATAAAGTAGGTGACTACAAATGTTTGAAGTTTCTCTCACTCCGTCATTCACCATAATAAATTTACATAAAGGGGGAGGGCTGCCCATTATTACATTTCAGATCCCAGAGAGAGAGGTCAAGGGCTGGACACTGTTACGTTCTTGTTCCTTAGTGGGAGACATGAAGTAAACTAATTCTCCTTTGTATGTCTCAGAGGAGGTATTGCTGCCTGATGCACTCAGGGATGAAAAGAGCTTGGGCTGGACAGTCAAGACAAATCTGAGTTCCAAGCTCAGTTCTGCTTCTTAGCTGTGTGACTGTGTGCAAGCTACTTAACACCTGTGTACCAATGTCTTCATTGGCAGAAGAAGAAAAATAACTTCACCCTTGCAAACGAAATATGCATATGTGTGCATATAAAATATACTACAGCACAGACAGTCAGTTCTTGCCAGTCGTGGATCTGAAGTACACGTGCATCTATGCATGGAGAGGTAAATACTGAGAGCACCGTGCGTCATCTACTTTCAATTTCTCAACATTGTAGCAATGGCAGAGAGCTCTGGAAACCAAGCTATGGGAAGGCTAAGCAAGGTATCTAAGGTTACAGAGACAGGAGCTAGCTTTTCTGACACAAACTTTTTGAAATTATTCTAATTCTACTGGAATGAAACATCTTCCAAGTTTCTTCTAGTCTCACCCCAGCAAATCCATGCACATTTATCCTCATGAGGAAAGGGCCTCGCTGGCTTAATGTAACTCTGACTTGCGGACATTTCAAAATAAGAGTTGCCTCATTTTCTTCAGTAAAATGCAGTAACTTGAAAGAAGCAGCGGCATGTTTCCAGGAAGAGCACGGTTCAATGACTGGTCTCCGGACTTTGCTGTACTCTTACTAACTATTCCTAGCATCTGAACTCACATCAAACATGGTCACAGAGTCCCTTTGAATAGCCTCTTCCCAAATGGTTATTTACACATCGTTAAATTCTTAACAGAGGGAGAAACCAAAGGCTGAAGTGTTCCAAGCCACCACAAAGTCAGGGTTCACCAGAGACACCGGAAAACCAATGTGCACTGGCAATGAGTCAGCTGGCACTGAAGTGTCCAACGTTTTTATTCCATTTTATCCAAAAAGAAACTACAGCACCAGACTGAACACCAGCAACCCCAACCCTGGCCTGTCTGGGGCTGGGGGCTCTGGGGGCAGGCTGCCCGGGCTTCAGTGCAGCTTCCACACTTGCTGACCGCCTTGCCTGTACCAGGGAGCTCAGTCCTCGAGGCTCAGCTTCCCCCTGTGCTAGATGCGGACGACACCCCCTTCACTCAGGCTGACGGGATGAGCTTCCCAAATGACACAGCGCTCATCGGCAAGAACGGCTATTATTTTTCAGACCCAGAGGTCTTCAGAGCAGACCCAGGGCTGGGCAGGGATGACTTACCGGAGCTCCTGGTGGCCCGGGTGGACCCTGGTGACCTCGTGGTCCTGGGGCTCCCTGGTAACACAAGCCAAACCCGCATTAGCCACGACTCCCCCTCCACATCACCTGGGCCACCCCCATGACCCTCTGCTGACTCCGAGTTTTCTCCCAGAGTTCTGAACAGGGACCCAGAGACACAGGGTGGGGATCTGGCAGAAAGTCAGCTTGGCCCATCTCTGCAAGGCCCCATCTGAGCTCAGCAAGCAGTTTCACCCCCATGGCCATGGCCTTTCTATTTCTGCTCCCACCCGAAAGCCCCACGAGAGGACCCACTCGCCTCTTACCTGCTCACCCTTCAGGCCCTCTCTCTGCACCTGAGGGACAAACCAGATGTCAGCAAAGGTGGTGGCATTTTCTCAACAGGCAAGTTCTCTCCACTCCATTCAGGGTATTTACACAGCATGCTGTAAGGCAGCCATTTCTGACTTTTCTCTGATTTTATCCCATTTTTAGTGTGCAAAGCCTTGAATCTAGCTCCTGTCCTCAGAAGAGTTCCATCTCTTTCTTAGAGGCAAGGACTCTCCCAACTACACAATTACATCAGTGCTTGCGTCCACAGTTCCACCCACCGGTGACTGATTCACTTACCACAGCGCCCGGCACACCAGGAGGTCCTACGGGCCCCACAGCCCCCTGCGGAGAAACGACAAACACTGCCACAGAGTGAACCTTTGCCACCTTCTCCTGCTGTTCCCCACCCCTTCGAGGCCCTTGCTTATTCATACAAGTCCTCAGGACCACTTCCGTCTCTGAGCTCCACCACACACGCCATCACGCCTGGTCTTACCGCCTGCCTGTAACCGGCTCAAATTCTCTTTATCTAATTCTTATCTCTGCATCAAGATCGCAGGAGCCTTGTTTTCTTATGTGCCTCTCCAGCCAGGTGCCTCGATTTGACTGGTACTTTTCACAGCTTTCTGCTCAAGAGCATCCCTTGGTCCCCTGTTCAGTGGGCGCCTGCTTGCACCAGATGCTGCATTAGGCGCAGCAGGAGCAAGGGTTAGCGCTCACAGAGCAGCCTCTGGGCCGAGTCCGTGGTTCAGCACGTGGTCAGCGTTCAATGAATGTTTATTAAATGAGTAACACAAATGCTGTGATGCTCCCTGCCCCTTTTCAGCAGGTCGTGACATACAAAAGGCTTGCTCTTTGTCTCCTTCTCTTTACCACCTGGTCACCAGGGCTCTGATGGCTGTGGCTGGGTCAGATTTTCCGGAGTGTGGGTTCACCTGGGGCGTATTTTTTGACCGTGGCAACATAAAAGCCTCCACTGCTATTACTCCAGTGCCTCAGAGCTGAGACAAGGACACTGCCTGGGGCCAATGTCCCCATACATGGCTTAGAGTTGTAACTCCTCATTCTCCCTAGAGGCTCGCTCAGGGAGCACGGGACGCATTCACAAACTATCCCTGAATAAGCTGGCAAAGAGTAGACGAGTCGCTGAATAAACAGCAAAGCGAGCTGTTAGCTCCTAAGGCTCAGGAGGAAGAATAAATGACTCAAGGCACGTCTGTCACCCCCACAGCACCTGAGGCTCTGGTTTCTGGACGGAGCGTTTTCTCTGACACCAAAACTGATGCACTCACAATTCTGATGCTTCCACTGCTGCCCAAGGTTGGAAAACTCACATCTTTACGTAGCATCAGGTGCCTCTCTAAAATCTCAATTAGCAATGTTTCTTTTTTTCAAATAGACCTTACTTTTTAGAGCAGTTTTAGCCACACAGCAAAGTTGCATGGAAAGTACCGAGTGGATAACCAGAGTCAATTTTCCCCGCCAACCCTTCCTTCCCGTGTTGCACATGCAATAACCAAGCCCTGCCTCAGAAACGTGTTTGTGTTCCAGCTTTCCCCTGCATGGCACCACCGCCCACACACACACGTGCACACATATGCTCACAGGCTGCATTTTTTATCATTCTCTATCCTCTCCAGACACTTCCACGGCGTGTATGCATGCCCAGCTCCATGCACACAGAACCCAGCTTGACTATCTCATCTCCATTTCTCACTGTGACTTGGGGTGTGTCTCTCACATGTAAATTTACACATAAATGAGAGAGTTGTGTGTGGCTGAATAATGAGGTTCATAACTTGGAGGTTCACAATTGCATCTTTCCTTTTTTATTTACACCATGTTTCATTATTACATTTATTTTATTTCCTTGTTGCATTTCTCATTATTATTATTACATCACAAAAGTGAATTTCAATAATAGTCATGAAATCAATTAATTAACGCACGTTTTCTCACCTGCATAGGTAATGTTACAGACTGCGAGATCAAACGACCTGAAATATTAACTCCTTATTAAGGAAAACCAAAATCCTCCAGTCTGTCCATAATAATCATGCGCATACAGCTGATAGACATTGCACCATTTTTATCTGCCATGCCTTGTTTCAAGGACTTGAAGTGGGTTCAATATTTTCCTCTCAGATACTATCCTATCTTAGAGACGAGGAAACCGAGGCACAGAGATGTTCAAGGTCAAAAAGCCAGGAAGTGACGAACCGTCTGTCCCTGAACCATTCTTTCCACTATGTGGGTGTCACATTTTTGCAAAAATCTGTTTTATCCATTGTGCTAGGTCAGCCTCCCAGGTGGCACCCAGTGGCCTCCCTCCTGGCATTCACACCCTGTGCAGTGACCCCCTGAGTGTACCCATGTGACTATGTGGCCAACAGCATGCAGCAGAAGTGATGGTGTGCGTGTCTAAGATGAAGTTGTAAACATGACTGTGGGTTCCGCTGTGGAACCGCCCACCCAGCCCTGGCCCCAGACCACTCACCACACACTCTAGGGGAGGCAATTTCCACTTCTGTGAGCAGCCCCATGGAGAGGCCCATGTAATGAGGCCGACAGCCACCAAAGACCCTGTTAATGAGCCTGAAAGTGGCTTCTTCAGGAGAGACAAGTACATCCTGGTGACCGCCTGACTACAGCCTCATGGAAGACCCTGAGACAGACAGGCCCAGCTGTCCTGCTCTTAGATTCCCGGCCCTCAGAAGCTGGGTGAGACAACCTTTTGTTTCACACCTCTCAGGTTCAGGATGATTTGTTATGCAGCAGGAGGTAACTAATACAACCATCAGGTCAATCCATTAAAACTCTAAGTACAGTTTAAGTAGAGAATCCCCTGATACTGAGGCCTGCGGTGCAACATCACATGGGCAGTTAAGGTCTACAGCCACCGTGGCATCTTGAACACACCAATTTTCTGGGCCTCTGTTCTCGCATCTGTAAAGGGAGGGGGATTTAAAAGACCAGCTCTACGGTTCCAATGACTTTCTCAAATTGCAAAGTATCTAAGACCTGCCCCGGCGATGTTCCCTCGGGATGAGTGGAGAGGCGTCATAGCACCCGAGAACTGCTCGTTTCTGCGCTATTCCAAAGAACGACCCGATCACACGTGACCCGTCCCCCGTCTTCCCCCTTCTGCTGCACTCAAGTTTCCTAAACCATGAAAACTCAGCTGTTTCCCAACCAAGAGGGGCCAAAAACCTCTACAAGTGAGGTGGAAGCTTGGAATTTATAATAGACACACCCAGACAGGCAGTAGCAGGAAAGAGCTGTCACCTGGATCCAAACCTTCATTCGCTCTTAGTGACTTGAAATAAAGGACTTATTTTAGGATTTAGCACCCCCTGTTAAGGGGCTGCAAGAATACATTAGAACCCTGACAGCAGGGTAAGATAACCATGCAAATCTAAAAGTACTGAGACAGAGAGAGAATAATTAACTCAGCTAGAACTGAACTGACCAAGCAAGCTGGGAAGATACCAACATTCTCCAGCCATCGTTCCTAAACGGAGGCTCTTTGAGCCCGCAGGCCTATTTATTTACTTGTAACCTACCCTCGTTGCTTCTGTAAGGAGTTCAGCAGTCTTCTCCTTTCCTTGTTTTCAGCTCGTGCTGAGGACTAGTCTGAGATGGGCGCTGCCCTCCCCCAGACTCTGCAGTGTGACGCTGAGCAGCAGGGACATGCTCTGGTCTCGCCCTCCTTGGCTGAGCGGGACTCCTGCTCTCCCGGCCCCACCCCAGCGGTTCTCAAACCCCAAGTCTGACGTCTTCCCTAAGGGCCTGTCTGAGCATCTGGGGGAGACTCTTTCTCCTGTCCTCAAACCTGGGCTGTCTCCCATCAGCCCTCTTACAGTCGTCCAGGATACACCACACCAGCTTAGCTTCCCTCCGTTACCCTGAGCGCCCGGACGGGTATCCTCGTCACATACCTTTTCACAGAGCGTCATAATTTGCAAAAAGAAAAAAAAGTTCACACACAGTTCTTTCAGTCGGGATACAGAAATTCTAAGCAGCAAATTCACTGAGTTAAGCCTTGCTGGAAAAAAATGCTCTAAAATAGATGCCCAGCAGGCTGAGATACAACCTTCATTTTGCTTATGAAATAGCACATTTTCAGGATTATAATTCTGGTAAAAAAAAATTTAATGTTGCAATGGAAAGAGAAGGAGAAAAGGAGGACGAGGGAAGGGCATTTGTAAGATTTTTTTTTGTATTTGTTCCCAGCCTTAGTCCAAAAAGCAATTTAAGTAGCACAAGATTTTAATATGTCTGGATAGTATATAATAGGGATTTTTGTTTGTTTTTTAATGGATTTTTAATCCTAAAGAAAAAACATGCTTAAGTGCAACAACCAGAAACTTCTTGTTAGCTGACTCCTGGTGCCTAACTCATCACTCTGTCTTCACTCTATTCCCCAAACTCCAGCCTGCGCCCCCCAGCAACACACACACAACAGCCCTGACTGCTCGTCCAGAGCCCCCTCCCACCCAGGGCCTGGCTTACCTTCTCTCCCTGGGGCCCTGGCACGCCGGGAGGGCCGGCTCTTCCCTGGAGGGAAGAAAGGCAAGGTCAGGGGCAGTGAGCGGAGAAGGCAGGGGTTGAGGGTGACACACCTCCGACTGCAACAAGGCTTTTCCCCAGAAGACACAGTCTGCCTTGGACAAGACTTCCCAGACTGTGCTTATGGCTAGAAAGTTCTTCCTTAGCTAACCTGACACCACATCTCCCTGTGGTCCCCTCTGGACTCACACTGGCACTGGAGTGGAGAACGCATTCTGACCCAGAAAAGGACCCTTCCTGAGGGACGTGAGGGACACATCGGAGACACTCTGGGAAGGAGGCTGGAAGAAAGCAGCCGAGAGCTGCTCAGAGCAAGGGGAGCTCGGAGGGCCATGCCTGTGGTGTCACATGGAGCCCTCAGGGCGCGCTGGGGCCCGGAGCCTCCGTGGCTGAGGAGGTGGGAAGGGCTGCCTGGACTCTGGATCAGGAGGCGGTAATCAGGCAGGGACAACCAAGGTCCCAGCGGGCTGGCACAGCGACGCCCAAGTTGCACCTCCTCCTCTTCGGTGTTCCCACGCAGAGGCCTTTCAGGAGTGGCTCCGACGAGCCCGGGCGTTTAAAGCTCCACTGAAGCAGGAAGTAAGGAGGGGCCCAGGGGCCACCCCTCCCTGGGGGCCCTCCTGTGGGTCGCCTCCTGGAAGTGGGGAGGGATCGGAGGGCAGCTGGACGACCAGAGGTAACCCTGGTGATTAGTGCTTTTCGCAGTGATTCACCTAGAGGTACGAGGAGAGACGCATTCGGAGACGCAGGAGTCCTCTCGCTTCTCTCTTACTGCGAACAGCAGAGATCCGGACAGAAGCTACACGTCCCGCCACAGGAGAAGGCGCTCCGTGGCTCTCACTCGGCCTGGCCTTCTGCGAACCCTCCCCCCGCCTTCAGGCCGTCAGAACTGCACCCACTTGCTCATTGACTGCTTTTCGGCTATTCTTTTGTGGAAGGGGCGTTTCTTTCTTGGCCATCGTCACCATGTGGGCATTTCCAGGGCTAACAGCCAGGACTGGCACAGAGATGGCCCACAGTGAATCAGCAAAAGTGAATAAACTGTGGCACGTTCGCACCATCGAGCACTAACTGGTCATCTGGGTCACAACGTTGGAGAACAGTTAAGAAAACGGTTACATGTTTATGCTGTAGGGTTAAAGGAAGGGGGCAAGATGGGAAAGGTATGATTCTAATTTGTTAAATCACAATAAATATAAACCAAGATGTTATTTTGGGTGATGGGATTAACCATAAATTTAACTTATATTAATATAGCATGTTAAAGTTAATGTATTTATTATGATGAATTCATGTATCAAATACAATTTATGTATTTAATCAATTCATCATCTACTAAAAATATAAGTATATTATACAAATAAACATTTTTCTAAATGGTCTTCAAGTAGATGCATAATTTTCAGCTTTATTTAGTTTTAACCATTTGAACATTTAAATTTGGTTATTTTGCGCATAGTATGTTAACATAGTTCAAAACTCAAGTGCATAAGAATTTCCTTCCCGTCCCATCCATCAGCCACTGCGGGTCCCCTTTCGGAGGCAACCAAGGAAGCAAGTTACTAGTTTCCTGACTGTCCTTCCAAAGACAGCCCGTGTCTCTACAAGGCACAGATGCATCTTTCACACCGTTGTACACGTGCCTTTATTTCTCAGTTAGCAATACACCTTGCAGAACATCCACATCATGTCTTAGGAGTTCCTCGGATTCCCGCAGCTTCATGCTATTCTCCTGTATCTACACACTGGATTCATTCAACTGGTTCCATACTGATGAGCGTCTGGGCTGTTTGCAACCTTTCATTCTCAGGGACAGGACTGCAGTGAACACGTCACTGAACACATGCATGTCACCCACGGCCCTCATGGTAACGATCACATGTCATGTTACTGAGGTTAGAATGGGTTCAAGGTGTTCTCTGGGAACACTGGCCTTGAGGAGTCCTGTGGGAACGTAAGCCGGGGGCTGGTGGCTAAGTCTCCTGGAGCCCCAGCCGAGCAGGACACAGACAGGGGTGCCCAGGCCCTATGAGTTTGTGTGAGGCCCCAGTCCACTCTGTCCGCCAAAGAAACCCAGCCCACTGGAGCCAATGCTGCCTACCTGCTCTCCGGTCTCCCCCTGCTTCCCAGGGAATCCATCCAGACCTCGATCCCCCTGGCAAAAGAAGGAAAAAGAAGAAATGAGGAACAGAGGGACATCCCCGTGGTCAATGGCATAAAAAGGAAGTGTAAAGAGAGGCCCCGGGCGCCGGATCATGCTCCACTCTCCACCAGAGACCTTCGGATACAGGACAGCCAGACACACATGGCCTGGAGTTTGTGTCCTGGGGGTCAAGGAGCATAAGTGAAAGGTCAGGGAAACCACATTCCTACCTCTGCCCTTCATTTCACAAACCTGTGACTGAAGGGAGACCATGAAAGCAATGGCTGCACGGGGCCTGCAATACAGTTCATCAAGCGGCCGCGACGTTTTACTCACCGTTCATCCATCCAGTGAGTAGGTATGAACATCCAGTGTGAACCCAGGGCCGGGAGTAGACCTCAGCGTTCACTGTTGGCTAACGGCAGGCTCTCATCCAGGCAACCACCCAGCCTCCACCCACCAGCTATGTTCAGACAGAGCTGGGTTTGAATCTCTCATCAGCTGTGGAATCTTGGGAAAATCCCTTGACCTCTCTGAGATGTGTCTGTTGACTGTTTCCTGGGGATGAAAACCATCCCTTCCTCGGGCAAGTGGCGAAGCCACAGCCTTGCCCCACTGTTTGGGAGACGTTCCCAGGTGATGGAGGCCTGGGGTGCCTGCCCTCTGCTGCACTAGGTCACCTGGATCTGACAGTCAAGGTCCTGCAGAGGCTGGGGGCCTGTATCCACCTCATCTTGACACATCCTGGCTGTGTCTACACTACTGTCCTTTGCTTTGGTTCCCACACCTCCCATTCACCAGTTCTCCCTCCTATGGGGGGTCTGGTCTTGAGGAGTCCTGTGGGAACGGATTGATGAAGGACTAGGCCCTGCCTTCAAGGTCCCAGAGCTCAGTCCTCACCAGACCCACCACCTTCAGCCCAGGAGCTGGCCTGCAACAGGCACAGTGCAACAGCAGGTGCTTGAGGGACCCTGGAGGCCTGGAGGCCTGTTCTGAACCCCAGGCGAGGGCAGCATGGGCCTGGGTCTCTATGCCCTCAGGGGCCGGTCAGGCCAGAATGCCGCATGCCCAGGCCTCTGGGCAGAAGCAAGGGCGAGCCCGCCACGCACTCTGGACACAGAGGCCGGGCGACGCTCGTGCTGGTCTACAGCTCAGCCTGACTGTCGAGTCTGTTCCCCAAATCCTGCGCCCACGGTGCAGGTGGGGCGCTTTCAAATCAGAGCCCTGTTCCCTGGTGCACAGAGCTGCGCGTCGAGCCCCACGCCTGAGCCCTCAGCTACTCCAAGGGCCACTTTCAAGTCTGCAGAGTAAAGGACAGGGGCAGAGGGCCGCAGAGAGGAGGTGACCTGTACCTCACGGAACCCTGTGAAATCTCTCAAAAGAACCAAGAGATGCAAATCTTAATGACCCCGGGTCAGAGGTTTCACTTTTTAAGCTACAGGGACTAAAATCTAATATCCAACAAACAGGAACCAGGCTGTGGAGCCTGAAGTGTGCCCTGCCCTCTTCCTTCCGAGGAGACTTTCGGGAAGCCACGTGGCCACGTGCTCCCAGAGCCACACAACACGTTCATTTCCTTGGGCCAGAACTCCCCCTTCTGGGGGAGCAGCCTAAGGAAAGCATCCTAACTTGAAAAATAAATAAATAAAGCTATGGCTGCAAAAGCGTTCACCAAAGCATTAGTTTTAATCATGAAAAACTGAAAACAACCCAACATGGTCAACAACAGGGAAACAGGCCCATAAATCAGGGTCTGGTCCCACAGTGGGATGCTGTGCGGCCGCTGGACGTGAATCACAGAAGGAACGGCACGGGGAGCTGCCGCACGCAGGAACAACGGACAAGGTAGGACGCAGTGCGGCAGGTGCCGCGTGTGACCACGTGGGGGGGGGGTGTGTGCAAGAGGAAGTCCTGCAGGACGTGCCTGTGTCCACTGCAGCTGCGGCAGGGTGACACGATCAGGGGCTGTCTTCCACTGTTTTCCAAAAATAGTGAAATGAAACTACATTTCTTAATTTAGAAATCCCCTGTAAAGCCAGGGAAATGTACTCCAGGAAGACAGAATGGGGTAGGCGCTGAATAGGTGTCTGGAACATGGCTTTGGGCAAGAGGACCAAGCGCCAGCTCCTGGCCGGAAGGAACCCCGGGGATGGATGGGCCAGGGGAGAGCTTCCCGGGAAGCCGCACCCACTGCGGTCTGGGCAGGGGAAGGTGGGGGTGGGTCCTCCCTCCACCCCACGGAGCCCCGAGCTCTCTACAGCATTAGCACCGGTGGGAGGGCCCGGTCTGGGGGTTACTCGTGATGGGTGGCATCCTCAGGAAGGACGGCCAGCCTTGGCCCTTCTCGAGTCTGTCACCACAGGCACCACCTTCAGCGAGTTTACGAGTCAGCCTGGGTCATGTCACAGCACTGGCTGAACTGGGCTGAATGTGGGTCACCGAGGCCACAACTGTTGCCACACACCCTCTCTCTGTTTGAGAGTCAGGGTGACCAAGGAGAGGAGAACTTAAGCAACTTGCCAAGTGAGATGTGGGTCCCTGGCAGCAGCTGGAACTTTTTGAGGCCCAATCCCAGGCTCTTTCAAAAGCTCTCTGGCCTGGAAACCCGAAACTCTGTCTTTGTGAGGCGACTGCAGTCCCTGCAGGATCTGAGCCCATGGCCTTCCCAGCCCAGCGCTTACACTCAGGGCGGGAAGCGAATGCCTCGTCTGCACGAGCCCCCAGCCACCCCGTGTGCACTCGTGTGTGCACACGCACACACGCGCGCACACATGCACGCGTGCACACACGCGCACACACACGTGAACACACACACGTGCACACGCACACACGTGCGCACACATGTACACTTTCCCTGGGAGGCCGCACGCACTGACGGGAGCGGATTGTAAATACCTTTTCTCCTTGGGCTCCTTTTTCACCGCGCTCTCCATGGAGACCCTGGGGGAGAGGGGAAGGTGAGTAACACGGCATCCCAGCCCGGCTTCCTGTGCTCGAACTCTGAGGGCCCATGCACAGTCCGGCCGGGGTGGTGATCTGTCTCCATCAAGTCTCACTCTGCCCAGTGGCCTGCGCACTGAGCTCAAAGGTGAGCTCCCAGGGCTGGTCCCCCAGCCTGGATTACCCCATCCTCCCGGTTACAGACTCAAACACACCCTGGCCCTGGAGCACATCTGGCCGAGTGCGCGAACGTGACCTCAGAGCCAGTCCCCACCGCCACCCAGAGCCTGGGAACCGAGAAAGGGCCCCCACACTGAGCCTGAGGCCCTGGGGCCCTTTAAGCCGCAGTCGCCCACCTCCCCCAGGGGCCGGGCCCTGCCCCACCCTGCGTCCTCCCCACGGCCGGCAGGCATCCACCCCTTGCTGAGGAATCCCTCTTCGCTGTGAGGAAGTGTCAGCCAAGATGTGGGCCTCCCTGACTACAAGATCCAAAGTACAGTCACCATGCTGCCCTGCTCAGCCCATCTCCACGCTCCCACCAGGCTTCACTTTGCTCACAGCCCTCAGCCCAGGAGACACATTTTCTGTCCCCACCCCAGGAGAATGTGAACCTCCAGGAGGGCAGTACCTTCCTTCCTTCAGGACTGTGTCCCCAGAGGCTGGAAGACTGGCTGAAGCCTCATGTCCATAAACTCTAGTTGAACGACTAAGTGATTCAAAGAATGGCTGCAAAAATCCCTTGGTTTGCACAAGAATCTTGCAGAAGTTTTGCCCAAAGGCTACTGCCCCATGCTAAAGTGCAGACAATCAATGCACGTGTGTCTGCTCTTGTCAGACATGCAGGATGGACAATGTGATGCCGGGGCCACCAGCAGCCCAGCGGGCTGAAGCGTGGCTTCTCTGGGCAGGACTGCAGCCCAGGCCAGCAGCTCAGGGCGTGGCCCTGCTGAAGAGGCGTGAATGTGTCCTGTGTTACTAGACGAGCTCCCTGTGTCCCCTCTTTACTCTTCCTTCCTGGAGAAGGGACCCTTGGACACTGTGAAAGGATGTTAAAGGGGGCAGGACTGCCCAGGCCCACTTATGGATTTCAGGAATAACACCTATATCTTTGGTGCCTGGAGAAGAGGCACAGGACCAGGGCCGCCGGAGGCCCTCCCTCCCAGAGGCCCATGGGGGAGGCAGGGCACACAGGCCATTTTAATTCCACTCAAGTATTTTGGCCAGATACTCGGAGATCAGGGCCTTACGTGCCCCCAAGGCAGTGCGAGCAGCCTTGTCTGAAAACTGCCTTTTCCGGTGCTTCTTTCCTTGAGACGACCTCAAGCCTTTCTTAATGGGAACCAAGAACAGGGGCGGAGGCCCAAGAAGCCGCCTAGCCCCGTTCCCACCAAGCCTGTCTGTCCATCGCTCTCCTCACAGGCACCTGGTCACTGACCACCCGCCACGTGCCTGCCACTGCTCTAGGGACCCACCAGGGATTAATGAAAATTCCACCCCTTCTGGAGTGGCAGACTGGACAGGTTCGTAAAAATGTCTTCTTTAGGTCAAGTGTCAGAAACACCCAGGCTGCTGGGCAAAATGCAGATTCCTGGGCTCCGCACAGACCTGCTGCTTTGTTATCCAGGGGTGGGGTCCCAGGAACGTACATTTAAACATGCTCACCAGAGCTCCTTAACGTGTACCGCCACGTGTGAGCATTTCTGGTCTAAGAAGAGGCACCAAGGCTTTGCTGCCACTGGCACGTGCGGGGCAGCGGGGCCTCTGTGTGTGGGTGTAGGATGGGGGCCTGCAGGAGAGCTGGGTCCCAGTCCCAGGAGAAGGCCACGGAGCTCCCCTGCCCCAGACAGCTGCCTCTACTTACAGGAGCGCCGACGGGTCCGGAAGGTCCGGGGAGTCCGGGTGGTCCTTGGAATCCCTGCAGAAGAGCGTTCACAGGGGAAGGTTTGGGGATGGAAGAAAAGGCAGGACCAGAGGCAACAGTCAAGAACCGTGTCTGGGGACGAGATGACCGCTTCTCGCCTGCCATGTGCTGCCACGCTGCCCACACAAGGGTTCACCCAGGGACCCCTCCACCTCCGCTGCCCACCCTCTACCCACCCAATGGAGAGCATAGGCCGCTCCCTGCCTGGCGGAGCCATGATTCATCCCCAGCTCTGCAAGGAGCGGAAAACAGTGTGCTGCCTTTGAGCGACCACCCGGCCAGCACATCACTTTCGTTTTAACGTGCCCCGCGGCCATCCCAGGATCCGGCCAGGACAGGTGCGCAACTCCTGGTAACGTGACTGATTCCTGCCGCTCAGCACTTGCACTTGGCCTTGGGGCCAACAGAACCCGGGCAAGGCCTGACACAGCCCAACGGAAGTCTGCAGAGCCCGGGGCCCCTCTGCTGCCTGGACCAGGAGCTGCTCTTTAGGCTGCTAACCTGGCACCATCTGTTAAAAATCTACTACAATTAAAATGTGCTTCTCTTCAGGCAAAGGTACCCCAATTTTTGTAAGCTGGCCTCAAAATAAAAGCATGGTACATGAGACTCCCCCGCATGGACCCACGCCGACGTGCATTCATCGATTTTACTGAGAAACAAATGAAATTAGAAATGACTTGGAGGACCAGGAGCAGGGGGAAAGTTATGGAAACTACGATGCGTCCATATCAGGGAATAGCACGCATCGATGGAGAGAACAGGTGGTATCTGTCAGCACTGGTGTGGAAAGACGTCTCTGTCTCTTGTTAAATAGACAAAGTAAATGGCAGAGAACGGCATGATTCGTTTTTTGTAAGAATTTGGAAAACACTGTGGATGTGCAGACACACACACACAGGCACGCGGGTGACTGTGAGAGAAGTGTAGGCGGGGAATCCACGCCTGCACCGCCTCTAGACCTAGGGAGACGTTACCCCAGAAGTGGGCTTTGCATCAAAATCTGTGCACCAGGGACATGAGAGGAATAACTCAAAGCGACACTTACCCGCATGCCCACCTCACCAGGCAGTCCCGGCTCTCCCGGCTCCCCCTGCACACACAGAACAGCACGTGGTCACAGCCCAGGGCACCGGGCACCCGGGCCCAGGCACGCAGGGCCCGTCCAAAGCCTCCCGGGGGCAGCCACTCCTGGAACTCAGAACTCCTCGCAGAAGCAACATAACTGCCCCATGATGAGAGACCCAGGCACCCCTTGGAGACTCTTTCTACCAGCGCAGGGGCTGATCTGGGCTGCAGGGGTCACCACCTCAACCCCACCCACCCCTGCTGCCGCTGGGCCACAAGCTAGGTTTAGACAGAAGAGTGGAGAAAGCGGGGCGACTGGAGTGCCCGTGAGGCTGTCTTCACGGAGGAGTCTGGCCACCCGGAGGGGACTGAGGGGTCTGAGATTCACGGAGCTCTCCTTCCCCTCCTGGTCTCCACCCCAGACCTCCTGCCCCAGAGCACTCAAGGCTGTGGGCTTCCAGGGTGCTCACAAGTCGGGGCACCCCCCAAGGCCTGCCCAGACGTGGCTGAAAATGGCAACGGGGGCAGAGAGATGGAGCCCCCAGGACCCCCTTCCATTTGGGTTCTTGGTGGGGAAGAGGATCCCTTTTTCCCGGAGCAGACGGGCCCGCCTGCGTGGAGGTCACCTGGTGCCTGGGTTCCTGGAGTGAGTTCCAACTCAGAGGCTGGTGGATGCGGAGCGGAAGTCGGGGTGTGGACAAGAGGGAGGCAGGCAGGCCATGCCAGCTAAGGAGGCTGCTGGGGCCCCACCCGACTCCTTGAGCTATGAACTGGAGACCTGGGAACTGAGTCCCTCACCGTGGACCTCGCTTGCTTCCCGGTCTGGCCATTGGGAGAACAAGACCTCCATGCAGAACTGCTTAGTACCAGCTAAGTGAGAAAACAGTCCCAGGGACACGCAGGCACCAATGGAGGTGTTATCAGGCCCAGCTGACCTCCAGGGGCCTGGGGAGAGCCAGGTGCAAACCAGCCCCGGCTCAGGCCTGGCCCTGGCAGAGGCCACCACACTTGAGGACCAGAGGCTCTGACGGGAGCTCCCCGGCCTGGTGCTGCCTGTGGGAAGGGTGGCAGCGACAGACGTACCTGCATGCCTTTGGGGCCGTCTCTCCCAGGGGGACCGGGCAGGCCCGGGGAACCCTAGGACGAGAGAAAGAGAACAGCAGTTAGAGCAGGGTGAGGACAGCCCTGGAGAGAGGCTCTTGGAGTCCGGGGGCAGCGGAGAAAGCGCCAGGCGAGAACTGTGGCCGAGACATTGCTCCTGGGAGGGAGATTCGCAGGCCTGCCGCCTGGGTGCCACCGGGAGAAGGTAAGAAATGCAGATTCTCAGGCTTCTCTCGACCCACTGCAGAAGGAACCACATTTTAGCAAGGGGTCCACATGCACCAGACAGTAAGAGACACCCCAGACCCTCCCCTCCCCTAACTCGCCGTGTGGCCACCTCCTCCCTCCCGGCTCAGAGTCACACGTGTATCCTGGAGCCCTGGGCTGGAGCACGGCCCTCAACCTGGGCCCCATCCACATGGGGCTGATAACCCTCTGTTGGGGGGCGGGGACTGCCCTGGGTGTTGCAGGATGTCCTGGGGCACCCGAGATGCCAGGAGCACTCCCTAGCTGCGACAACTAGAAACGTCTCCAGATACCGCCGAACGTCCCCTGGGACTCGAAATCCTCCACAGACGAGAACCACTGGGCTAGACCAGGTATTCAAGAGTTTTCTAATCCGGGGCAAGCTCCGTTCTAATGAATCACGCGGAAGCATGAGACAGGCACCCGTGGGCACCCGCTCAGCCCCGCTCAGCCCCGGCCGGCCCACTTCCCGGGAGAGCGTCAGAGCTCCCCCAGCAGCCACGGGAGGCAGGAACTCTGCCTCAGGGCAGGGTGCCGGGGTCAGGAGCGGGGGGGGGCTCAGCTCCCCAGATGCCCTGTCTGTCTCCAAGGAGCATGTTTTCTCTCCTGTCCTGTCCTGTTCTGACCTAAGCAGAAGGCCTGTGTTTCCAGACAGCGGGGCCCAGCCGCCTGAAGTCTGCTTCTCCACAACACTAGGGAGAGACTGAAGACTCCAAAAGGGGGGCGTCACAGAGGAACAAGGACGTCTTCCGAGGAAACGCCCCAGATGGTGCTTCTCTCCAGAATCAGGGCTACTGGGGTGACATGCAGAGCTCGCCACAGGGGTCAGCTACCCAGTCCCTGGACGGCCAGTCTGCAGGCGGGGAAGGGAGGGCTTGGTGGCTCCTGCCTCAGGAATACGGGGGGAGGGCAGCAGGGCACGGAGCTTCCAGGGCCGTTTAACAAAGGGAGCCAGGGAGGAGACCAGAGACAATGCTAGAAGGAACTCCAGAGTTCCAGAACCTTCCCTGTGCCCACAGCTGTCACACATGCAGCCCTGCTGGCACTTTCCAGCAAGTGTCTGTGTGACTGTCTCATCACAAGGCAGGAGCTCCACAAGGTGGAGAGTTGGGACTCCATCACCGAGTCAGCGGTGCCCACCTGGCCCAGGGCCCCCCAGTCCTCTGTGGGCGTCAATTCTTCCCTGAGTCCTGTGGGTTTGTGAGGGGAGATGTCGGGGAGAAACCCCCAAGAGCAAAGAGAACAGAGGCTGCTGTAGAAAACCAATGGTCTCAAGAGCCAGCAACTTGCGGCTTCAAATCCTGCTCCATCGCTCGGTACTAGTGGCCTGGGTCAAATCAGTGACACGCTGAGCCCCAGTCTGCGTCTGCAAGCAGGCATCATCACCTCGCAGTAGGATCTGTGCTTCCCAAGGACGAGGACAGCTCAGCAAACTGGTTTCGGAGGACTGGTGTCCCAGCCCGGCCCTTCTGCTCAGTTACGAGGGGTGGGCTGCTCTTGCTTTGTGTTCTGAGAAAGGCAAGAAGCCTCTTCAGAGGTGATGCTGCGTCTGCGAAGGTGACGCCTCTTTTTGAATCTTGTTTTACATGCTTAGGATAACCAAGCTGGCGCAGCAAAAAGGCACATTCCAAGAAATTTCCACTTTCAAGTCATCCTGAGGTCCAGGCATTTCATTAGATGGGTTCCTGCCCTTGAAAACTGCGTCCCCAAGAAAAAGTCAACCTGACATAGGTATTTCATGTTTCATCATCACCTAATCCTAACACTACGGGACACCACCATGCCCCAAGACACACCTCCCAAAAGCCTCCAGCTGCAATCAGCTGCCTGCAGACGTTTTGAAGAGACAAAGTTACAGCCCTAAGTGTCCACTGAGATCCCATCAGGAAACTCACTCTACCTCTCTGAGCCCTGGTTTCATCATTTGTAAGACAGAGGCTCATGCTGCTTCCAGATGAGAGCATGAATGTAGATATAACTGATAGGCTATAAAACAGTATTAAAATGCCAGTTCATATTCCGGTGAGAGCTAAGAACACCTTCTCAAGTGGGTCAACAAAAGGAGTGGGGGAAAGACTGGAGGTTGTTGCCCTGGAATTAGTAAGGTCAGGGACACGGAGATTTTTAAAGGGAGTATGTGTCACTCAGTATCCACAGTAAAGTACAAAAAAAAAGAAAAGGACATGGATGGATGGAGGGGTAGAAGGGAGGAAGGGAGGGAAGGAAGAGAGAGAGAGGAAGAGAAAGAACAAGACAGGAGGGGAGGGGATGGGAGGAGAGGACAGGACAGGGCAGCACAGGACCATGCTGGACAGGAGGGTCTGGATTTGCAGATTTGCATGCAGCCTCTGCTGCTCGTTAGCTGAAGAGAACAAGTGATTCCCTCCTGGGTCTCAGCTCCGTCACCCATAAAGAGGATGATGCAAGAAGTACAGTACCTCTGGCCCAAGGTGGTCGGTCAGATGCCATGAGGCAAGGCTTTGGAAAATGCTTTGTACACAGGGGAGTTTGAAAGAAGCATCAAGTTACTTGAGGTGAACCACCCAGCACCTCCATCCTTCACCTTTAAAAAGGAAATCACTCAGCTTAAGAAGAGGACAACAGATAACGCACATGAAACCCCTCACAGAGGCTCACCAGGGCTCGGACCTCCCCCGAGTTCACACTGGCAGCTGCGACTCAAAATCTGGGCCCTGATTCCAAGTCAAGGCTCTGAACCTCCCCCCCCCCAACCACTGCCTCCATGATCTCACTGGAAGCCCTGGGCTGGTAACATCTGGCAGGAAACGATCTGCCCGTTGCCCGTGCCCACTCATCAGAGCCAGGGGTCCAGGGATTGCACGGTTACTTCACGGGGCAAAACACAGAGAAAAGAGAGGGCAGGTATTTCCCCTGCTCTTCCAGTTAATTAAACATCAGGGCTCTTTTCCTAAATACTGACAAAGACATTGCTTCATTGCTAGAGATGCTATGTTAATATTCTTCTTCATCCATGGGTAGGGTCAGAGTGGACCCTCAGGGGCGTGAGCTCTGGGCAGCAGTGGCCCCCGATGTGGCTCCTGGACCAGCAGCAGCAGCACCGCCAGGGCCCCATGAGAAAGGCAGGTCCTCTGGCCTCACCCCAGGCCCACTGAATCAGACGGTCTGGGAGCGGGGCCCCGCAAGTTGATTTAACAAGCCCTCCAGGTGATTTGGTCAAGTTTGAGAACCACTGCTGTGGAGTCAGAATACGTGATCCCAATTCCTGGCTTAGCCACGCAGAGATGAAGTCACCTGCACCTGGTCACACGGGTAACAGGCCAGCAGAACGAGGACAGTGAATCTGCCCCAGACTCCGCAGATTGTGCGTGCGTCCTGGCAGACAGTGCTCACACACACCAGGAGCTGTGATCACCCTCAGACGCTGTGCGGATACAGGACAGCTTACACCTCTGCGTCAGCCCACCTGGAGCACACTTTCTAATAACACTCTGCAGGCTTCCCGAGGCTCGGGGAGTTACGGAAGTCCTCCCCAGGGGAGCCAGGGAATACTGACATTTCACAGCTGTCGGCCGCCCCTAGGGATAAGGCCTCACTGATGCAGAGGACGCAGATGTCATTTGACGTAAAAAGTGGAAAACTATGCTGGTGTAACGGTAATTATACTTAACACTTATGAGCACTTTTCACAAATATAAGTCATTTATTTTCATTAGTTCACTTCATCCCTGCTGTGACCCTCAGAGGCAAACACGATTATAGTCGCCAACTTAAGGGTGAGAGAAGCCAGGGTTGCCAGGGCTGAATAACTCACCCAGCGGTACACAGCTGCCAAGTGGCCAGGCTAGGGTCTGAGCCAGCCAGCTGGTGTCAGGGTCCTTAACCTCCCCCTGCCCTCCCAGTCTAGCTGTCCAGCACTCCAGCATCGACCCTTCCCATAAAAGCTCTCGCCCGCCTGTGTGAAGCCTTTGGTCCTCTGACTGGGCCATCAGACTTGGCAAGAGCCTGAGTGTCGGACGCAGCTGGAAAAAGTGCCTACTTTCCTATTCTAGCTCTGCCTGGGGCCGTGAGAACCCGTGAACTAAAACTTCCCCAACGTGTCCTTCAGCACCACGGACAGGGCCGTGGCAACTTAATTTATTATAACTCCCAGCATTCTGCCCCAACCTACAAGGCTATTTGAGGGCATGTAAGCCGCTAAACTTATTTTCCCCAAACCCCTTAATTATGATAAAAATAGAAGGCACTCAACCACAGTTATCCAACTTGATAACCATGAATAATGCACGTTAACGCACAGGCTAAGAATAGGCGATGGGGGCGCTGATGAAGCCAGCCATGAACGAAGAGAATGAGACCCAGAGCTAGAGGCAAATGACACCAATATATCTCAGAAGTTTCACACATACAAACACACACACGCAATTTATGTCTTATGGCTCAGAGGCTCTATAATGTAGTCATGGCATGAGTTGATTCCCACAAGGGACATGGGTTTTGAGGGTCAAGAATTCCCCAAAACAAGCATCACTTTCAGAGGAGGACAGGGAACTGGCATGGGCCAGTGCAGTGGTTAAGAACAAATAAATAAATAAAAGGACATGCATTAAAAAAAAGTTGTTTTAAAGAGTGGGGGATGCATAGTCGGACAGACAGCCTCAGCCCCACTCGCAACACTCTGTGACCTTGGGTGTTCCAGAATCCTTCAAGGAGCTGCAGGTGGCCAATATCAAGCTGGCACATAGCCAGAGGTCGGCACAAGGCTGATGTCACAATTCCACGACAAAGCACCTTTTCTGACACAGAGTCAT